ATTAAAGCCTGTTACTTTGACACTCCTTGTAAGAAAACCCAATATATTTCAGAATTTAACGCAGAACTTGTAGGCTACAATTAAAATCCAGATCGGTTTTGGCAATCCACTGATGTTTTCTTCATGTAGGTACCTCTTTTTTTCACAGAGTAAAAGAACTGAATCTTTTGTCGAAGTGCACAAATGTTACAGTTAACCATTTATTTCTTAGGACGACTATCTATGTTTCCCAGGGGTTTCAAATATGCCACCATTTTTATAACCTTCATCTACAATACGTATCACTATATTCTCTGATTTTCCTGAAAGTAAGTTTTAAAAATGTAATACCTATAGGTATTTGGCAAAAAGAATGGAATCGCCACAATGATCAAATTAATGCTATAATTTTAGTAATATAAAGCACAAACTTTTTATTGGTGTACGTAGGTGAAAATCGTACATTCCTAACAGGTATATTTTTTATTCAGATTAAAATCAATGATAAATTTGATTATCCAAAAGTATTGAAAGTTCAGGCCGCACTACAATATAGCCTTCTAACATTTTCAATCTAACCTGTAAATGCATAATGTAATCAATACTTCTTTTAGACTTAAATTCATATATTTAGTAAATTTGAAACTTCTGGTAACCAAAACTCAATCAGTAACACGATTACATACCAGCCATAACTGCCGTTCGAGCTTTAACATCTTACAAATATGATAAAATGTGTCCAGCTTCTTGTTCCAATAAACATCACTGAAAAACTTTATAAATAATATCCTGAGCTTCACTCTGATTAATTCTCTTCATTTTTAACACTTTTCGACGGAGTTTAGAAGAATTAGCTTCAGTTTAATCAAAACAAATCAAAAATGCAGAAAATCGAGCTAAAAAATCAAGTTGTTGACAGTCGATGTACTTTGATTCAGTGTTGTCATACTTGTGTCTAATGTTAGTTCCTCAAACATTCTTTTCATGACTTTATAGACAGACTGTACACGTTGGTCTCCGTCGATCGTTATCGTTTTTTCAATCGATAAGAATCGGTATGCCGTTTCAAATACAACATGTATTCGATGCAAGTGAAATTATGTCTTCCATCACTAAATTAAGATCGTGACGTCATGATACCTACACAAAATGTGGCACGCTCGGTCTCCATATAAATCGACGAACATTTTCCTTCTAACTAGATTTATTTCTGTGGTGGTAAACTTTTTTTTACTCGGCGTCTTGGCTATGAATAAAAGATTTTTTTAACAAAAATATTTGTTCTTCATGCTTTTCTATACTTACTTTAAATATAAACTTAAATCAATAAGTAAGAAAATTAGCCAGAATGATTGTTTTGTTAAGCAACTTTAAATCGTTATATATCCTAAACAATAATTTAAAATGAAAAATGATAAACCTAAAGATGATTTTAAAATACCTATTCAACGACACCCCACTTGACATAGTCATTCATCTTTTTTTTTTAAATTTTGACAATATGGCGTCTTGTTGTCGCTGTGGTGAATTTTGACTACTGTCATGTCTTTAGTGACACTCGCAAGGTTAAGGCGAATCGATTGACTATACACATTTGGTCTCTAGAACGTCATATAGATACAAACATACATACATACATACATACATGGACTAATAAACACATTACCCTTGCATTGCGCAGTCGGGTAATAAGTCCACAGAGACAGAGAAAGTTATATTTGATGCCCGTAACTGACGTTCAATATATAATACCCGACAAAAAAAGGAGAACTACTTACCAAAAGAAATAAGATCCCATCTAAAACATAACATGTACAAAAATGCACAAGTCAAAAAGAAAAAAAAACAATAATGATATTTAGGGAATAATATTTAGAGATAAAATGTCCAGCGTTGACAACTTTTTAGCCAGATTAGGCAATATCGAAGCTTAGTTTTGATTGCATACCCTTGGTTTCGGAATGTTTTCCATGTGAACTCTACAAACTTAAAACAATTAGCGGCGACGCCCCATTGTAAATTTTATAATTCATTGGTTTGTCATATTTTGTGCACCCATAGTTTTAAGTTTTATGTTCCAGGCATTGTTTTGTATTATACACTTTGTTTCATAACACATTTTAAATAATATTTTCACTATAATATCAAAAATTAAAGCGTGACTTAGTCTGCACGAAAGTCGCAAATGACGCAACCTTCTAGATGGCGCTAGGTGCAGAAAGGAGACATATAACTTTTTTCTTTTTGATTTTATAACTTTAGAATAGAGCTAATTTTGGCTCTAGAATATATGATTGAAGACTGACGGAGCACTTGTACTACTTTGAAGAGATTATGCAGTAAAGTACAATATAGGAAGTTACTGTGTTAGTTTCTACAGTTGCCTTTCTCGTTTATGGAATGCTTTTTTTTATTTATACGGCACCACTCATCCATTTATACATTATGGTCAAATGATCAAAATGTGTATATTAAAAAATATACCTGCTCTTAATTCAATGACATTTCTTGATTCTTTTAACAAAGTATATGACGATAGTTATTATCTTCAAATAACCTTTTTCTTACTGATTTTTGACGTACGTCAAAACAAATCAGTAAGAAAAAGTCAACGAATACCTAAAGTTCAATGTCACATTAAAATAAAGAACATCGTTTGTAGATGTAGATTAAGAATGTATTATTTAGGTAGATAATTTAATTTTATATCCACTGAATAGAAGATTTAAGACATTCTGTAAAGAGTAATCAATTACCAAAAGAGGAACGACGGGCTATCGAACTGTATTCATGTTATGGTATACAAAGGTCATAGCACCCTTAAGACTTTAATAACACGAAAATAGTTCGCTCGGATATATTATTTCAATAGACGTTAAATGTTCAGCTGGTAATAAAACACTGTATTTTTTCTGTGGTCATCTAAAATGAAAGGCGTTAAAAGCTGCTATTGTACAGTATATAAATAAACTGCAAAGTCTTTTTATCTTTGAGCTTTTGTTCTAATCCAAAGTTTCCAAACCTTTTCTGGTCCACGGCTAAGGAAAACAATTTCTAGGGTTCCCCCGTCCGTTGGTTAAAAACCGAATTAAACGATTATTTTCCATCGAAATTGTTTTTGTTCTGATCAAAGATGAAAATAAAATGGTTTCTGCTTAAAATCCTGGTTGATTTTGCACACACGTCACGTTAATTTAGAATACTCGGCACATCGCTTTTTCTGTTTTAGCTGTTCATGTTTGCACTCTCGCCACTTTTTGTTAATGCAAGGCCTTCACGTGTCGTTGAAAAAATGACAGAGAGGGCATACGGAGATCCGCCCCCTAGCTCCAAGCAAAATGCTCGCAAATACCCAGGTTAATCCCAGAGTTCATAATGCTCGCAGAACGATATCGTTCCGAGTAGGCGTTTTTCGAAACGTTTGCAAGCTCTGAATTTTCGCATAAGTAAAGACGTAACGACTATACTCTCATAGAAAGATAGACGCACTAAATTAATAAAAGTAGTCGGTTTCGCACTGACTGAATTAATAAAAGTACCTGATTGGTTTAATTCGATTTGGCAACTTGTTACGGCAGAAGAATGTTTGCATTTTTGTGATTATAAGTATGATGATATTTCTTAGAGAGCTGAAAAGTTAGTTATAATATTTTTAATTTCAATTTTATAATATTTAAATATTATAAATATTGTGTATAACAAGAGTACATTTCCTAAACATAATTCGACCCCATTTAGTTAATGCTTTAACGGCCCGCATAAACAACACAAGTCTTCGTTTTGCTGAATAATGTTAATCTATATACGATAGTGACGTCCGTAGCGGTCATGTTTAAAATATGAAATACTTAAAACTTTGAATCTTATGACTAACCGTGTAGAAAACATTTTCACAAGTTCAATGAATTTGTTGACTTCAAAATTTCCAAATGAGAATCAACGGTGATTTGAAATAGAAGGAGTACATATTTACAAAGTAAAAGTCTGCATTTGCTTCTTAGTCCGAATGACCAAAAATTAAATGTGACAAACAACTGGCAGAAAATACATAAAATATTAGATAACTCGATTGGTAGCTCTAGCCTAAAAGCTTGCCAATCAAAGACAAAATTTATTTGGAAAAGGAAATACGAATCAGTTATTTAGCTCATCATGCGAATATACATAATTTAAAAAGATACAAGTCTTGTTAATACGAGGTCGTTCTTTCAATTCTACCCTGGTGTGGTGTCTGAACCAATTGTTTCTTTTAGGTATTTTTCCAAGAATATATCAATAAAATATATCATATTAAATAAGTGAGAAAACTCAGAAATAAATAATGAATGACTGTAAGTTATTCTACCTGTTTTGTTGTTAAAAATGCTGTTCGTTTGTAATTAACCTCGACAAGCATATAGTGAGGTCATTTTTTAAGTGAACTGAGGTCGTTCATCGCATTTAATAATCATGAAGATTAAATATTTGCATGCTTCATTATTTTTCAAGATAGAAACTATTTTTTGTTATGAAACACTGGTGTTATGAACATCACCCACGTTTGTTTTGTTAAAAAAACATAGTATTTAAACATCCTATAGTTTTTAAAAAAATATATTGTATTTTTTATGAAGCTTTTATATTATACTATCCGTTTTCCCGCGATTTCGCACTTGTAAAATATAATAGCCTATGTCAACCTTGTATGATGTAGGTGAAAGAATTTTTAAAATCGATCCAATAGTTTCGGAGCCCATTCGATGGAAACAAATACACATTGAAATCTGTCTTCTTTATAATATTAGTATAATATATTTTCCTTTATCTGAAGAATGACCTTTGCTGTAAGTATCCAGATCTTAGCTCAGTAAGTGAGGACGAGACGAATACATACGAATAATACAATTAATACGTTGTGCTTATAGTACTCACACCACCATCTCCTTGGCTTATACTTCCGGCAGTTGAAGAAGCACCGACATAAAAAAAATTGTGTTCTACTTTTGTGTTCCGATTTTACTTGAGATAAAAATTTTGTGATATTATTTCTCTCTTCAGTTGTTTCACTTTATTACAACTTTTTGAAATCGGTTGTAATTTTTTTAGTCGCAGATATTTATGTTGCTGTTTAAATGTATTTGTATAATGATATGACACCATTTTTTTCCCTCAGGTACCGTCAGCTTCGGCGGAGGGTCACTGCATATGGTATGGAATTTGTTCAAACACGACAACCAGGCAAAAAAATTGTTATTACGATGGACCAGCTAAACGCTTGGATGATCCTGGAATGGTAAGTTTCATTTGTCATTAGTTCATAGAACGGTGTCTCCCAGTTACTCACATTTCTTTACCCTTATGGAACCAAACAGGAAAAAATCATTTTATACCCTACTACACTAAATTCTAGTGGTGTGAACATATAAACTTAGCTGGTGACTTCTAATATATTTTCCAAGTCACTTCTTTACATAAATTTATGATTATTTCACGGTTGGTTTAAGTACGCAGGTAACCACAATATGGTAAACTCCGGGTGATTTTAAACTTTATCCTCAAGACAAAGAAGTAGAGGTGTTTTTCAGATGTATAATTAAAGGTGCTGGTTGGTGACTGTTCTATTATCCTTATTATAGTGACATTGGTGCGAAGTTTGTTGTGTTAACACTCTTTAAACTAAACCTAAAAAATGTACTTTATTTAATACTAGTGGACGCCCGCGACTTCGTCCGCGTGGAAGTCGGTATCCCGTGGGAGTGAGAAGTTTTCCCAGTAAAAAGTACCCTATGTGTTATTCTGATGTATAACCTATATTGCTGTAAAGTTTTATCCAAATCCGTCCAGTAGTTTTTTCGTGAAAGAGTAACAAACATCCATACATCCATACTTACAAACTTTCGCCTTTATAATATTAATAGGAAGTTTATTTTGTTATCTTGGTTATTTAAAGGAATAAAAACGCAGTTTGACAGGATCAAAATTTAATTTAGTCCATTATGTGCGATAGAATAGTTTCCGTTGACTGATCAGTACTTTGATCCCTATATATACTTTATCGGGATTTGTCTAGAAAATATTCATTGTAAATAAGATATCTCCTGTTACTGCTTTTCCATTATTGAGACGGGAACGGAACTTAATTAGGTTTCAATCTAATAAATTTTTACTTTATTGGTAATATTACTAATTTTATATCTTTCTAGCAAATCAATAGGGATGACGACTGGGTAAAAAAATTGCAATTCTATTTAGTCCGTCAGTCATATAATAGAAAAATATTAGATACGTATTTTTTTTTACTTCAATTTAACAAGAAATAGCTTAGATAACAGGCATTAAAGTTGAGGAGTGGGGGCTCGCTACGTCACAGTTGAGTAGAAAACGTACTCTAACGTGACGTCATGCGAAATTTCAACTCCATGTAACGCCGTAATTTTATGATTACGAAAATAATAATACGTGTTTAATATTTTTTAACACTCTACCTGACAAACAAACAAAAATTAGTCATCATCCCTATTAGTATATAAGAAATAGTTGATACCAATCAAGATATTATTGTTGAATTATTTATTAAGAGTGAACATTGCAAGCCCAAATAAATCGGTAGGATCTTAAAGTTGGTTTAAGTTTAAAACTCATAATTTCGCTTAACTCAACAGGGTTATATTTTACTAGCAGTTTTGCCGCGACTACGCCCGCGTAAATTATGGCCTGTCTTATAGCACTCACCTATGATGTCCTTAGATGAAATAATCAGTATTTCCAATTACCCCCTACAAAAAATAAAGTAATAAACTTTGCATTTTTCATAATAGCAGTATAAATTTTACGTTTAAGTATTTATTAAATATTTTGTACGTTCAATATCTACCGTCCATTAAGTAATAGCCTACGTCACTGTCTGCGATTAGGTTTTCGTTTGGTTCTCATGGGGGTTGTATTATTGCACGTCGTAACTGGGTCACCTGGTGGGGTCACTAAGTTCGTCTATATTTAACTGCGTGCAACAATGACGTCACAACTCTTTTTCCGTACTAGAACACTGGACCTGACCTGTTTGTCAGCCTATACGTCCTATTTGTAATAATTTTTCCGTGAATAGTTGCAATCGTTCATATATTACTAATAAAATGTGACCTTTATCACAGATAATGCCTTATATGGCCTATACTTTATTTATTGTTATAAAAAGTTACATACAATGTTGTAGCTCATTGTTATCGTTTGTTTATGGTTTCTTGTCATTTTAACAATTAAGATAAACGTAGAAAATGATTTTTGCCAAATTTTATTTTATGTGACAATACTATATGGTTTGTCTGATTGACTTTTATGAAAATGGTATTATTACCAATTACACACCACAAATAACAGTCGAAGCAGGTGTCTCAGATGACAGCAAACTACAACAGGGTCATTATTTTTTGAAATCCAATTTTCCAATAGTATTTATTCACAGAAATGTTATCATTCAATGCTTGAAGTACTGAAACCTCGTTCATACGTAATCGACAGACATGTAAACTATACGTTTCTAGACAGTTCCAATTATTATGAGTATGATCTACCGTAATTACTGTCTTGTCTTCACAAGAATTTCATTGCATTGTGTTTATTTTTTTCTAGACTTTGAATGCTATTGCTACGTAATTTTAACCTTCACTTGGGTGGTACAACAAGGGCCAACGAAAGTAGGTCTGCTTAAAGCGTCATTTCCTTGATGCTATATGGTGTGATTGCATGTGTACCTACTTCGACTGGAATTTCTTCTATTCTCGTAATGGCGTTATTTCCTTGATGCGATATGGTGTGATTGCATGTGTGCCTATTTCGACTTGAACTTCTTATATTACTTGAAAACTTTAATTTTGTAGCATCTCTACGAACAATTATTGAATAACTTCGCTGTGTTCATACTGAAGTGTTTACATTGAGTTAACTGGCACTGGAATAAGAATCTTACTGTCAATGAGGATATTACTCATGCGGATAAACAAACTTTGATATTAGCGTTTAATTAATTCGTCGGAGAATCAATGACGCAAGCTTTGTACAGACTACTGGTTGCCGTGTCGATGACATTAGAAAGAGTCACTGCCAACAGCGTTTTAATTAATAACATCAAAACATTTTTAAGTTATGTAAAATCGAGACTTTCGTTTGTTTTGCTTTTAATAGTTTGCACTAGTTTATGATTTAAATCATGACGTAATTCCTTTCATATTATTTCAATTTGCTTTCGATAATTGTATTTATTAATAATGTGGCTCATTCGTTATATTGTTTAAGTTTGATATGGATGCTTATGGAATGTATGACGTCATCGACATTTCATCTTAACAAGATTACACATGACCATGACCAACCTAGCGTCATACACCTAATACTTTAAATCCAGGATTATTTCGTGAAATATACCTTTAATAAATAAGCACAGCATCTAAGTATACACACATTTAATTAAAAGTTTGTTTCTTAAAATTACTTTTTAGCTTCAATTTATCTCTAGTTATTTCTTTATTTTGTCAGTCAATTCTTTTATTTGTTACCCATCATTTATCAAAGGTGCTATGCTATGTAATGTAATCCCATAAAAAAAATAACATGATCAAAAATGCACAAGTCCCACAAAAATTTGGAGTATGTGGTTCTGATGATAGGTCAGTCAGTGACAAAATTATGGATTTTTAACTTGCAATACTTTTTAAAGTACTTGTTCAAATTTAATGTTATTTAGAAATGTGCTTCTTTATGTGTTGCCCTCTTGGTCAAAAATGGCCCGAATGGCTTCGAGCAAAGGATGGTACGGCCGTGCCCTGTTTATATTTTGGTCGACTTGGCGCCAGTTAGTATATAAAATTTTGCAAGTTTAATAAAAGTTTAAAATTTAAAGGTGCTACATGAAGTATTTACTTACATCAAATATTATTTATCTTTACCAAGAACAAGTAATTGTAATAAGCGGTTATTATGGTTTTCTTCTCGAAACTCAGTCAGGAAGATGGTGGTTTGTTGTTTACAAAAAAATAACACTGTTTATTACATCGTGGAAACGTGTTCGTTCTATTTTGACGTCAAGACGGTATGCCGGGTAGTGCTAATTGATTGTTGATCCTAAACAGTTATTGGTTCGTACAAGATTTTCATAATTAATTTCGCCTTTTTATAACTTACCAATAGTAATAATAACTTTCTTGATCCTCTTTGTTACTTGATATTTATTATCATAAGATGATGCATCACTATTTCAAATGCTCGTATAAATAATGGATATCTGCCAAATGACGCAGGCGGTCCATATGTGTAGCTACAATTTTAATACATAAATATTGTTACTGCGAATAGTATTTACTTATATTAAAATTGGTTTCTTGGGTTTTCTATATTCTATATGATACATTGGTATATATATTGGTACAGTATTCTGTCCTTTTACGAGTCTTACTTGAACGGGCGAGGTCACGGTCTTAATATTATACCCGAAAAAGTGTGGATTCTGATTAAAGCAGGAGCCCTCTGTTTCTACGAAATTTCGAATTATTTAACCGACTTCAAAATCCAAAAGGAGGAGGTTAATGTTCGACGGCGATGTATGTTGTCTATGTATATTCACCAATACTTCCGCCAATTGTTGACGGAGTTTTAAAATTATTTGTTTATTCGATTGATTTTTTAAAAGTTTTTTTGAAATGTTCTTATCAAAGAGCACTCTTCCGTGTTGTACTAGATCCTTTAAATTAATGCTATTCAAAACATACTGTCCATCTCTTATACGTGCAGCTTGGGTTTGATTACACGGCTTTCGGTGTTTTGTGAGTCCCAATATAATAAATAATGCATTGATAATGCTGCTGTGACGACTATACTGAGGTGCGGTGCTGCGGTAAGCATAGGCACAAACTAGTGTTTGCGGAGGCTAGTATTGATGATTTCACTACTATGACGCAACGTTTCCTTGCGCCTCTACACTGGCACGCTAACGTAGTAGCACCAGCAGTATTTTGCACTGGCACGATAACGCAGCAGTATTTTCAAGGTCTTCTTGATTTGGGATATGTCTCTTACATAAGTGAGTGCAGTTTCATCATCACATAGGTACGCAAAAATCGTGTAACCAGTGGAATATTGATTGGTCATATTGACCACGAGTGATAAGAAAGTGACTGCATTGTTTGTATAAATCGAAATGTACCAAAATCGGCATTTAGATAAGGGACTACCCTTATTCATATTTAAGATTGTTAGCAGTTCTTAAATATTAAAATGATGTATGAACGACTTACATAAATT